GGGAAAGTCAAGACACACTTCTTGCCCAGGCAGCGGCCATGTAGCTCGATGTCCTCATACGGATTTTCCTTCATAGGTGGATCTAGAATGTCTTCGTAGACGTTCTCCGATAAAGTGCATGTGAGTCCCAGCTTGGTCTGTGCGTACCAGTCCACCCTGCTGCTCTCAGAGGAGGACTGCAGTAGGTCTTCAAACTCATAGGACTTCCTGTGGTCAGCACTGGGTCTCTGCTTCCCAGTCCACAGTCTTCTATTCACAGAAGTAGGAGGCGGGGAGGAGGGTAGCGGTGGGGGAGGGGGAGGTAAAGTGGGCAGGGGAGGCAGGTTTCTCTTCTCTTTCCTGAAGCCAATGCCTGAGCTCCCAGGACTGCTGTCCTTGTCCCCTTCTCCTGCATGTTTGAACGTTCTGCGGGGCTTGGGAAGGGGGTTGATGAAAGGCTTCGGGGACACTGCCTGGAGCCCGGGTATACACTCTCCTGGCCTTTACACTTCTCTGAAGCCTCAGGGCCTGGCTCCTTGTCCTCCAAGGGGTGGGCCTTGCGGCCAGCTGCAAAAGCACCCCCACTTCCAGGACTCTCGGGAATGTGCTGGTCCTCTTCTGCTTTGTCAGGCAGACAGTGTGGGGAATAACAAGTCCCCAGCAACTGGGGGTTCAAACCAGCAGAGCCATCCTTCAAGGCCTTCTCCAGTCTCCTGACCTGTTTGAGCGCGGAGAGGTGGTCACTCTGAAAACGCAAGTCACTGGGCTTCAGCTCGACACCTCGGCGCTGGCTGGGCTCCGGCTGCCCATCACTCTGCCTCAGGCCTGGCCACCGGTCTGTGTCCTGACACGTGGTCTTTGCTGTCCTTCTGCTGTCATTTTCCAAGCTCTCTGTTTCAAGCCTCAACCCATTCTTTGTTCTGGTGACCTCGCTGCCTCTCCGCTCTACCCCGCAGGGTGGCAAGTAGTTCTCTTGGCCCTCCGTTGGCCTGGCAGGCTCAGGAGTAGGTGGCTCCTTCTTGCCTTCCCACTTGGATATCTTGTCCTTTATGCTGAGGGGCTCGGTCTCCGGTGGATGGCCCGGGGTTCTGGACGCTGCCAGGCTGCTTCTTCGAGGGCCTGCTGGCCTCTTTAGCACCGAGGTCTGCAGCCGGGCCATTGATGATCATACTGGAGCCGAGCATGTCCACTCTTGCCTCCAGCATGAGGTTGTGGGGGTTCCTTGGGGAGCTCCTTCCCAAGGGCAGTGCTGGATTAGACTCTCGAGAAGGAACAGATCTCCCAAGTGGCCGCCTTCCAAGAACTTCCCCAGCCTTTGAACCCTCTGCCTTGATCCTCCCCGCAGGCGGGTTCCTGGGCGCATATTGCTGATGCCCATGGCGGCGGCAGGGGGGGGGGGCCTGGGGCGCCAAGGCCTGCTGCCCTCAGCGCCTTGGTCCACATGGCCTCCCCCGCTGCCACTAGCTCCTTGGGTCCCTTGCGGGCGTGCCTTTTATGCTAAATTTTACAAATGGCTCTTCCAATGGAAGAACTGCATATAGGGCTAATAAAAAAAATTGTGGAGCATAACAAGGGTCCTTCAAAGCAAATCATAAAAGTTGTAAGCAGATCCTGATGCAAACGGATCTGACATGATAAAACCAAGCTGACCTTTGCTAGGGCAAGGTGGAAAAAGCCCTTACAATGCATTATGAAAAAACCCGACCTATATATATTTGGGGTCGATGATATGTTTATGCTTTTTTCACAGAAAGAAAATAAAATCTGGACCTGGATGATGTTGAGGCTGCAGATGCCCCACAGAGGTCTTCCAGAGGCAACTGGGGAGAGGTCCTTGGTCTGGCCTTTCCTGCCCCAAGGAGAGGAGTGCCTGATAACAGAACCTGCTGCTCCACTCTGCAGGGTGTCATACTGCCTCTAGAGAGTCAGGGAGACCCGGCTGAGATAAGTGCCAGGATGTGCTCCAGATAGCTGAATCCAGCTCACCTCACTCAGAAATCCCACCTGCCCTGGAGCACAAATGCTAAACTGCTTCTGCAGCTTGAATTCTGGTTTGCTTTGGAGCTAAGGTGCAGACTAAACAATTGTTTTAATCTTTGGGACACAAAACTCATTTTAATTTAAAATATTAACCCTTCTTCACTAAAGAAGGGTGAAGATTGGGGTTCTTGTCACTGTTGCTCAGAGACTGGAACTGGGTGCTGGAAACTGAAGTCAGGTCCTCTGCAATAGCAAAAGGCACTCTTAACTTCTGAGATGTCTCCCTAGTCCTGTGTAGATCATTTGTTCACTCTAGATTGACTTTTGTATCCTGCGATATACGTTTGTCTATATTCATATTTGTGCATGGGGAGGTCTGTTTGTCCCAAAATAAGACAGAAAGACAGGGCATTGAAGGGGATATGAGAGGGAACACACAGCCCCTCACCCTGTAATCATTTTTACATTTTTTTTTGACATTCAAGAAACCTCAACTCAACTGATAGAGCCAAAATTACCTGCAGATATGATGCAATTATTCATAAAGACATCCCAAATAATGTTTAAAAATAACAACAAATAAACTAGAGTCTGAAGATAGGGTTCATTCTTTTATATCACTGGATGTCTTCCAGAGGATTCAGGGTTGATACCCAACACCTACCCGATGGTTCACAACTGTCTGTAACTCCAGTTCCGAGAGATCTCATAAAGTCTGGTACCCTCTGTGGGCTTTAGGTACTCACGTGGTGCACAGACTTCTCTGTGGAAAAGCATTCAAAAGCAGAAAATAAAAAACGCAGTTATGCTTTCTTAGGGGCAGAATACTTGTAGCCTTGAGATGGATGATGATAGCACTCTATTCTCTCGCCTAAGTCACATAATCACCTTACAATTTAATTTACTGAAAGAAACTTTAAAAGGAATAAGCACATTTAAAAGCATTGCTTTTTAGTTTCATTTTTTACTTTTTAATTACCTATTGAATATTTTTTCCTAATGGAAAAATAGAACCCATTTAAAGAGTAAAAATATTCTTATAGTTAATTTAAAAACCTGAATATAGGCTTTAATGTAATTTAATCTTGAAATTTTTTGAATTACATTCTTTCAGCAATGTAACTTTAGAGCCATAAAAATCCTCCCATTTCTCCCTCTCCCACTGTACCTCCCTCCCTGCCCACCTCACATACCCTTTGCAATGACACCTAATCTCAAGTCTCTCTCCAGTCCACTCTCAGGCCATCATGCAGGAGCCATCCTTATTCTGTGTGAGCTTCTATCCACAGGATTAATAAGCTCACAACCTTTGCTTCATCCTGGCTGTTTCTGAAATTCTTTACTGCATCCTAGATTCATCTTTACCAGGGTCAAGGTCATCAAAGCGACAGGGTTATCCTCAGGCTGCTGGTCACTGTGCTGGGCTGTACCTCCCTACCACCACCAAGAGTCCCAGAAAACCTCGTGAAGAGCATATGTTTTGTTCACTGAAGTGTCTTTGTGTCTTTGCTAAAGGTGTCCCCTACACATGTGTGACTCTTCTGTCCCCTTCATATTCTTTTCTGTCTTATTGTCATTTCCAATCAGGCACACTGTCTACATTTCTCTATGTTTATAAGGAGTCTGGAAATCATGTGTTCATCCTCCAAGTTTGTTCCTTTATAAGGTTGTTTCAAGCTGGGGTTTTTCATATTCACTGTGAGTTTCAGATTAAGCCCATTAGTTTATGAAAAGTCTGTTAGAGTTCTGTTGGTATTGCACTGGATCTATAGGACTGTATGAGGAGAACAGACACCTGTATCTTCCATTGCATGAAGGTGATTGTAGCGTGAGTTCTAATTGGTCTTAATAATAAAATCTGGAGTCAGATATTAAGTGGTTGGAGCTATAAGATCAGAACAGCAGAGCAGCCAGACACTAGTTCTTTCCTCGACAAAATCCTCAGACCAAATGGAGCATCCTGTCTCTACAAGACCTCAGACTGACTGCCTGGATCTCCTATCTCCTCCCACCTTATATTCCTCTCTTTTCCCAGCCACATTCCTTTCATTCTCCATCTCCCTCGTGCTGGGATTAAAGGTGTGTGACACCAAAGCACTTTGATGAAAGATGTGAGTCACCACTGCCTGACTCTGTTTCTCTTTTAGACTGGATCAATCTAATGTAGCCCAGGATGGCCTTGAACTCACAGAGTTCTGTTTCTTAAGTGTTGGGAAAGGTGAGTGACAACACTGCCTGTCTTCTGTGGCTAACTAGTGGCTATCTGCACACACTGATTCTCAGGCAAGCTTTATTGTCATGGAAGAAACAAAATATCGCCACAGTCGATGAATCTATACATCTTTACTCTCAGCAATGAGTTGTCCCATTCAGTGTCTAGGCACTACAGAGAAGTGGGCAGAGTTTTCCTAATTATTTCATATTTCCTGATGCTATCTCCAGTGACAGGGATTTTAAATTACAGCTTCCACACATTCATTTCACTGTGGTCAGCTGTCTGTGTTAAATTTAGACAGAGTTATTGATGAATCTTTTAGGTTAAAATATTTAATTACATTCTCTATGATGAAAATGTCTTTGATGCTAACATATATTTGCTGTGTTTAAAATTCAGTACTTTGAAGTTGCAAGTGAATTATGAGAACAGAAACAAATGTCCAACACCCAGTTTGGGGGAAAATTTCTAAGGCAGCCACAGGTCAAAGGTTTGCCCCAATGGCATCTTTGGAATCATAGAGATAGTCCTTTACCTCCCAGCTAGCTCCATCAGGGAGGTGCTGAGATCACGGTGGAGAGAAAGAAGGGGATACATGTGAAGAGTTAGGTATGTATGTGTAACTCCAGAAAGGTTTGTATTATGAAGAATACTTAGGTAATTATTTTCAAAATATCTAATATTATTTTCCCCAACACAAAAAGGAAAAGGTTAGTACTCGTGTGTTTTCCCTCTTGTTTTCCCATCCAGTCATGCAGATTTTAGCAGTGTTGCTGTGGACTTGTACAGAGGGGGTGTTTTATGTATGGTTCTTTCCATGTTTATTATAACCATGACGCCTGCTAAGTGTTGCTCTGATACCTACTTCCCTGTGCAGTTACTAGTATACAAGCATTGCTTGTCTTTGAGTAAAGTTTCCCTTTTATCTTTTGTTTATTAATGGATTTACTCATGCGTTTGTGTCTACTAAGAAACACCCATTTCTTAAAGGAGTACTCCTTTGTCATCATTATATACTGTGATGCTTAAATTATCCCATAACATGCCCGTGGGAGTACATTCAAGTGGACCTGCTCTTCATTTGTTATCTGTCTAGAATTCTGGATTATCTGACCACCCCTGGGAAGAAAGCCAAAAGCAAATGCTTCTTGTCAGTGATACTTTGTGTACTCTGTCTATCAATGTCAGGTCTCTTCTATGAGAAGAACAGCAGACCTGCAGAGAGAACACGCAGAATGTTGACAAGAAGCTGACATGAGCCCTTGTTTCCAGTATGTGAGTCATCATTGCCACCAATGTGAGTGTGTGTGTGTGTGTGTGTGTGTGTGTGTGTGTGTGATGTGTACATGGCTGTGTATAAAGGGTCTGTGAAATGAACAAAGAAAAGGAAGATGTCACTGCACATCTTTGACTTGACTGGATGCAGACAGACTACTCCATCCTTATATTCAGTACAGTAGAGTGACAAGATCATGTGGGACTCACCAGGTGAGTCATTTCCTTTTCTCTTCCCATCTGTGTGACCAGCAGCTGGTCTGTGATGCCTTGTAGGAACACATCCTGTTGAGCAGGTCGCAGCAAAGAGCAGCACACTGTGAAACACTGGCATTCATAGACTCCCCAGATGACTGAACCCTGTAGGGGTCCCTTTAAATGACCAGGACTGAAATGGAAGCAATCCCCATCAGACCATTTCCCCGAATGGGCCATGCATGACTGCATCACATTTGGAGGGATTGCTTATTAAGATGGTAGAAATCTGGATCCACAACAGACACTGAATCATGCTTATTAAAATGGTAGATATCTGGGTCCACAGCAGACACTGATTCAAACCCTAGGAAGTGAGTGTGGCATAGCCACTTCTTTCTGATGGCTGTCCATGTTAAAACGTATTGCTAGTGTGTTTGATATTCTGTCTTCCAGGATATGAAGTCACAGACTGCTTAAGTCCATGCCATGTTCTCTTGTTACTGCCTTAAATACCACTGTGTTGCATGGCATATCAAATAGACAAATCAATTCCTTCGTGTACGTTTATCCAGATATTCACATAGTGGCCTCTTTAGTGAACACCTTGTTCCTGCACTGTGAAGACTAGCACGGGTCCTTGTATATCGTGTTAGATAGGCAAACTGTCAGTAAGCAGAAGAAATCAGTAATCACAGCAATTCCGTGTATTATTGGCGCTTTAAAGATCATAAAGGGGACAGGAAATAGTTGTGATGGGGATTGTCGTATGTGATGTTACCCCCAAAGGTTTCAGAAGTTAGCATGTGATCTGAGTCCTGAATGGCAAATAGAAGCAAGACCGTGCACAAACCAAGTTGTGGGCGTGCTTGCTTCCATGGAGAACAGTGGATCTAAGAGCAGAGAACAAGGCTAGTTGCCAGAACCTTGAAGACAACGTGGACACTGCTTGGGGATAGGACAGAAAGGAAAATGTTGTCATTGTCAGCTGTGTATGACATTTGGATTATATGATCTGTGTGGAAGGTGAGTTATGGAATTGTCATGATATGTTTCCTTTTGGTAGAAGGTGACTTGGCACTGAACAGAGAAAGGCCTGGGGAGGGCGGGATGAGGTAGTGTGTGGAGACAGTGGAGATGGTTCCGAAGACAGGGGAGGGATGGAGGTATGAAAGAGGGATGAAGCCATGCTGCAGTGATCAGCAGGAGAGCTGCCCTGTGCAGCCTTGTCTGGGAGAGGGCAGATAGCACCTGGATGCGCTGTGCATTTTCCTTGTGGAGACATTGCTCTAACATCTCTGGATTTGTCTGACCACATGGAGACACGGTGCTTCCATTTACTGACATCAGTTATTCCACGTGTATTGACACAGGATAGTTTGAATACCCAATCTAGTCATTGTAAAACTTAACAATTTGATAACGAGTTGCTGATGAATAATTTTCAGATGTAAAGTTTTCTAAGTACAGCTAACTGTAGCATAATTTCCAACAGAATAAGAATCTAACATTTGTCTCATAAAAAGTGAACACAAAATTCAGTGTATTTTTGAAAATGGCTGTTCTACAGCATGTACTGCTCTTGGTAGGTTTACAGATGAAGGAAGTGAGTAGGTTTTAGGCAGAGTTGAAGTGAAATCAGTCTCTAAATTCTGTAGCAACTGCTTGTCCCTATTCTTTCTCCAGAAGAAGACTGCCTTTAGAAATGCGTATTTTTGACAGCTGGGCACGGAGCAAACATTCACAAGACAGAGGCAGTTGGATGTCTGAGTTCAAGGCCAGCCTGTAATTCCAATTGCATATATCAACATTAGTCTGTCACATATGCAGGAACTTGTGACTGGTATTTAAAGCAGGTATTATCACTAAAGACCCCCAAATTAGCACATGAGCAGTGTGATGCTCTCAATTCACAGAGTGGGAAGCACAGCTCAGAGCAGAGGGTCTCACTCTGTTTTCTCCTCACAGAAATTCCCAGCCTGTGTTTGGAAAATGGGTCCAGGACATCCTGGCTCAGGGAACCAAAGTTGCTGGGGCTAGGAAGGTCCCACATATCTCTGACTCTAGAAAAGTGGTTCAACCTGTGACTTGACCCCTTCAGCAAACGTCTATCTCCAAAACTATTTCCATTGTGATTCTTACCTGTAACAACTTTACAGCGATGATGAAGCAACAGAAATAATTTTCTGGTTGGGATCACCACGCATGAGGGACTGTATTAAGAGTCATGTCACAGGGGGCTGGAGAGATGGCTCAGTGGTTAAGAGCATTGCCTGCTCTTTCAAAGGTCCTGAGTTCAATTCCCAGCAACCACATGGTGGCTCACAACCATCTGTAAAGAGGTCTGGCGCCCTCTTCTGGCCTTCAGGCATACACACAGACAGAATATTGTATACATAATAAATAAATATTTAAAAAAAAAAGAGTCACGTCACAGCATAGGAAGGCTGAGAACCATTGCTGTACAGACATCCAAACACAGAATCCGGCTTCTCAGATATCTCTGGGATCCCTTCATCATTGTCCCCATACTCCTAGGGAGGCACAGCCCCACATCAGGACACATACACTCACATCTCCGTGCAAGGGAAATCCTGTTCTTCTTTCTCCGTCATTTCTATTTCCACACACTATGCTATATTTCCAAATTTTCTTTTTTTATGTCTTCAGCACTGAGCTTAAGGATGTGTCTGATTCTTTGACCAACCTTTTTCCTGTTTTGTGATTCTTCTGCAGGGTCTGGGTCGTTGGCTGTGCACACACATCCACAGACAGTACAACAACAGCCTCTAGTCCCTTGTTGCTGACCTTTGGGAAGCTGGGCATGTAAGGTAGGTTTGCTGGCAGGAGACTTGCTCTCGGGAACAGGATGTCCTTGCCAGAGGCTGGACTCGAGGATGCTACAGCACTTAGATCTGCCCAGCATCTGACGGCCCTGTCCCAAGCTCTTCACAAATGTGGTGGGAGCACATTTGGGGATTTTTAAAAGTGGTCCCTAGACACTGCTATTGCTCCCCTGGCTGTGCACACATTCCCAGCTATATTCTTGGTTTCTCTGGTAGCTGTTCAATGAGAATGCTATACCATGAAAAGAAATCACTGGTGAATTTAAAAAGCCACAGTATGGGGACTGGCGACATAGCTCTCGTGGCAGAATGATTGCCTAGAATGGAAATTGCTCTGTGTTCTTTGACCCTCTGGGCATGTTCACCCTCACCTGTAATACCAGCACTCAAGGCGTAGAGGGAGGAGGAAAGAGACAAGAGAGTCATTACTGTTTATGAGAGTATGGCTCCCAGCCCCCATGGCAGATAGCTCACAACTGCCTTTAACTCTAGCCCCATCAGGAGTCAATGCCTCTGCCAATCATGTGCATACCACAGACAGACAGACAGACATAATTAAAAGTATAACTAAAATCTAAACAAGAAAAAAAAAGAAGCATCAACTCCAGGTCATTGACCAAGGGGAAAACACAGTGGAATTTAAAATATGAACATTATAAAGGCTAACGGAATCTAACAGTCTACAGTCTGGCAGGGGAGATGTCTCAGTGGTTCAGAGTGCATTCTATTGTTGCTGAGGATCCAAGGTAGTTTCCAGCATCCATTTCCAACATCCTTGAAGGACCATACCTCAGCTCCAGGAAGGTATGACCTCTCCTGACCTTTGGAGGCACAGGAATTCATGTGTACATACACATAGGAATATACACAACGTAATTATTATTAAGTTATGTACATTTTAAAATTATGTACAAATTAAAATAATTGTTGTGAAACAATGAAGAAAAATGGTCAAATGCCAGGCAGTATTGAGAACAGTTTTCATCAGCGTTAGGTGGCAAATGCGTGCACTTCCAGCTATTTGAACACTGGGGTTACACGATCGATCATTAGTGCTAAAAAGTTTCAGAACAGCCTGAATAGCATAGAGAGGCCCTAACTAACAATGAAAACCAAGCAAAAACCTAAAATATCTCGTCAATGCTAAATTTCCTAAAATAGCAATCTTAGAATTCATGGTTTTTCAAGAGATGTGGATCATTATAAAATAAATTTTTGCAGGGAAATCAATGATAAAATTACTTATTTCTTGGGAATTCAACCATATACATGTAGAAATGGAATGAAAATGTTACTGGGCCGAGAAGAAAACAGTAGCATTAAGAATGTGTTTACATTAAAATGAATACTTGAGCTGTGGCAGTGTGCTAAGCTTGGAAGACCAGCAGCACTCTGAAGGCTGAGGGAGGAAGGGCAAGAGTCCCAGGCTGGGCTGGGCTTCTCTGAGACTCTGCACTAAACACACAAAGTAGTTAGCAGGACTATTATCATTCCATTCACTGTTGTAAAGTTTCAGCTTAGTTCTGGCATGGGAAGCCATCCTCTTTCCCCGGATATGAGGCACAGCAATGTACGCCCCTGGCCCAGACATTTTAAAGATTACCATCCCCTAAATGGGAAGGCAACTTCCTCACCACCACATACAGCAAGGCGTATAGAAAATGGTGGCTTGGACTGTACTCAGATTGCTCACTCTCAGGAGATTTCCCTGCAGACAGCCCTGTGCCTTAGGGGTAGGAATCAGCCCAGCGACAGACACAGATTTCCTTATGGTAGTACATGTGCTTTCCTGTGGTGTTTCAAATTTCGTATCCAGGAAGGAAAGTACTTTAAAGTGTAAACTGAGAAAAATGCTTGTGCTCGGGTGGTAAAAGTGGGGCTGGGGAGACAGCTAAATCAATAAATTGCTGGCCTTGTGGGCATGAGGCCCTGAGTGTCATTCACAGAGAGCATCATCAAGAAAATGAAGATAAACTACAGCAGGAAAAGTAGTAGGTGTGGTGGGACATGCTTGTGTGTGAAGGTGGAGGCAAGCTTTCCCTGGAGTGTGCTGCCCAGCCAACCCAGCCTGCCTTGCTTGTTCCAGGCCAGTTGGAAACCTTTTCTAAGAAAAACTTCAGGGGGACGGCACCTGAGGTACAACACCGGAGGCTGTCTTCTGTCCCCTGACCTCACGCGCGCGCACACACACAATTGCTCACGCACTCACAGGCATGCACGAACCCACAATCGCACTTTGGATAAAGGATTATACACCTTCCATACTTCAGGAGAAGTAGTCATTTTGTTCAGTTTCTGGAGCAGTAAGGACGAATGTAATCTATTTTGATGCTGTGTGCATGCCTCTGTGTGTGTGTGTGTGTGGTGTGTGTGTGGTGTGTGTGTGTGTGTGTGTGTGTGTGTGTGTGTGTGTTTACACACAGAGCTCCACCATCTCTATCTAATGAGGCTGCTTTATCTTAGCCTTAGACTAGGATTGGTCTCCAATCTCGGGTTTACATTTGATATACCTAAGATGTCAAGTATTATGTGACAGGAAATCATAATGAGGTGAAAAAACACTGCCTTATCTTCAGAGGTATGGTCCCTTCAAGTCCAGGTCACAGTCAATGTTCCCTCCCATCCAAACATAGACTCCACTGGGCCCAAGACTCTCACTGATGTAGTTCCCACTAAGGCCAGGAGGTGGCATTCAAACTACATGCCTACATTTATTTTCTTAAAAAGGGCTGATGTTTTATGGAATACAATGCGTTTTTAGTGTGTTTGGAAAGCTGGCACACGTATAGAGCAGTTCCATTTATGGACTGCAGCAACTGTAGTGCTCCACAACTCACTTCATCCTCCCTAAGTGTAAAGTGGGCAGTGCACACGGGATACAGAGTGGTGCTCTGTAGAGAATATGAATGTGGTGGTCACCTTGAATCCCCTGACTCTGGGATGGATGGATTTCCTAGACTTTCCATCCCCTCTCCAGGAGGCTGTGGTACAGTCCCCAGATCGCTGCCTGCCAGGCAAGTTGTATCCTGGTCAGTCACTGCAATTGTGTTGCACCATGCCTGCTGGGGACTTCCAAGAGCAACCTGGTGTTTGTGGTGTGGTAGCCAAGTATGTTTCCACGGTGTTTGTGGTGTGGTTGCCATGTACTTTTCTATGAATATGCTCTGCATATGACTCAGATGTAATATGTATTCACCCTTACGATGTAGAACAAACTTGGGGTCCCTTCTCTATTGCAGGAAGATCTCCAAAGTATTTCCTTTACCTCACCATCATTTTGGAGCCACTAATTTGATATTGAAATAGAAATTATCCCCTGTGCCCTACAAGAAGAGATAACACAGAAGAAAAGAGGCAGGAACTGCAAGTCCCTTGACAGCCACAGGACATTGACTGAGCTACTGTTCTATTGCTGGGAAAAGGCGCTGTGCTGAAGGGAATTTACAGAACAAAGCATTAAATTGGGAGCTTGCTTTCAGTGTCAGAGGGTTAGTCCAGTACCATCACTGTGGGCAGCATGGCAGCAGCCAGCCTGGCAGGACACCGTAGCAGTAACTGAGAGTTTACATCCTGATCACAGGCAGGAGGCAGAGGTCTTTTTTTTATTTTATTTTATTTTTTTTATTGAGAAAAGAAAAAAAAAACAAATTTCCTCCTCCTCCCAGCCTCCTATTTCCCTCCCCCTCCTCCCACCCTTCTCCCTCTCCTCCCACCCTTCTCCCCCTCCTCCCACTCCTCTCCCCCTCCCTCTCCAGCCCAAAGAGCAGTCAGATTTCCCTGCCCTGCGGTAAGTCCTAGGTCCTCCCCCCTCCGTCCATTTCTAGGAAGGTGAACATCCAAACTGGCTAGGCTCCCACAAAGCCAGCACATTACGTAGGTTCAAAACCCCGTGCCATTGTCCTTGGGTTCTCATCAGCCCTCATTGTTCGCCATGCTCAGAGAGTCCAGTTTTATCCCATGCTTTTTCAGTCACAGTCCAGCTGGTCTTGGTGAGCTCCCAGTAGATCAGCTCCACTGTCTCAGTGGGTGGGTGCTCCCCTCGTGGTCCCGACTTCTTTGCTCATGTTCTCCCTCCTTCTGCTCCTCATCGGGACCTTGGGAGCTCAGTCCAGTGCTCCAGTGTGGGTCTCTATCTCTGTCTCCATCCATCACCAGATGAAGGTTCTATGATGATATGCAAGATATTCGTCAGTATTGCTATAGGATAGGGTCATTTCAGGTTCCTCATCCTTAGCTGCCCAAGGAACTAACTGGGGACCTCGGCTTGGGCATCTGGGAGCCACTCTAGGTTCAAGTCTCTTGCCAACCCTAAGGTGGCTCCCTTAACTAAGAACCGTGCTTCCGTGCTCCCCCATCCAACCTTCCTTCATCCCAATCCTCCCCCTTCCCCAAGCTCCCCCCATTCTCCCCCTATCCCCCTCTCTCCCCATCTCCCCTTACCCCCATCCCACCCCACCCCCAAGTTCTCAATTTTCTCCCCGGGCAAATTTTGTCTACTTCCCATAGCCAAGAGGACATCTATATGCTTTTCCTTTGGTTCACCTTCTTACTTAGCTTCTTTGGTATCACCAATTGTAGACTCCGTGACCCTTGTTTATGGCTAGAAACCAATTATGAGTGAGTACAACCCATGTTCCTCTTTTTGGCTCTGGGTTACCTCACTCAGGATAGTGTTTTCTATTTCCATCCATTTGCATGCAAAATTTGAGAAGTCATTGTTTTTTTACCGCAGCATAGTACTCTAATGTGTAGATATTCCACACTTTCTTCATCCATTCTTCCATTGAAGGGCATCTAGGTTGTTTCCAGGTTCTGGCTATTACAAATAATACTGCTATAAACATAGTTGAACAAATGCTCTTGTCATATGATAGGGCATCTCTTGGGTATATTCCCAGGAGTGGTATTGCTGGGTCCAGGGGTAAGTTGATCCCGAATTTCCTGAGAAACCGAAACACCGATTTCCAAAGTGGTTGCACAAGATT